GGCCGGGCGCTCACTGGGGTCACCTGGTCCCCACCAGGCCGGGCGCTCACTGCTGTCACCTGGTCCCCACTAGGTGGACACTCACTGCTGTCACCTGGTCCCCACCAGGCGGACACTCACTGCTGTCAGCCAGGACGAAGCTGCCGCACTCCCGGGAGGAGTTGCCGGACGGGTCTGTCACGTTGACGCTGAAGACGTCATCGGGCATGAAGTGGAACACGTCCATGTGGCACGTGTACTTCGCGTGGGTGGCATTGTGGCCGGATCTGTGGAGGCTGCAGGAGGTGACCTCGTCCCCCAGTTCTCCGTACTGGTCTTGCCTTCGAGGAGACAGTGGCCGGTCATGGCTGGAGGCCTGGGGCCCAGCGCTCAGGGCCAGGTGCCCCAGCTCCCGGGGAGGCTCCCCACCCCAGCCCTGGGGGGCTGTGTCCAGGCTGGGCTTGCGCACCCCCAGGGGACACGCAGCACACGCCCCATTCGGGGCCCATCTTAGAAATCTGGGCCACTCTCGTTTGGATCAGTCCAAATCTGCCCCCGTCCGCCCAGCACTGGATTGCAGTCCCGTGGGAGGGGACAAGATACCCAGGGAGGCCTGTGTCCAGGGCAAAGGACATCTTCGAGCCTCATCCCCTGCCCTGGGTGGGCTTCTGGGGAAGCTGGTCGGGTGGGATTGGGAGGGATCTGGTGTTTTAACTCCCACTGGGCAGAGGCGATGGGTTCTGAGGGATGCGTAGGAGTTCGCCAGAGTTGCATCCCCACCCACGGGGGCGCTCAGCGTCTGAACACGACCGTCCTCTGGGACCATCTGCAAGGTGGGCGCTTGGCTCCCAGCTCGCGGGGTCTTTCTTGGAGTGAGATGGCTAGTGGCCCCCAGGACGCGGCCGCTGCTCTGGTCATCATGGATCCACCTGCTGAGCCGGGTCTGGTGTCCCCGGTCCAGCCCAGCCCAGCCCTGCAGGAGCCCTGAGCAGCGACCCAGGGCCACTTACCAGGTGAGAGTGAGCGTGCCGGGGTGGAGGCTCCACGTCTCCAGGACGCAGGTGACCGTCTCCAGGTAGTCGGAGTAGCACACGAGGTCCCGGCAGCCCCAGCCTGCAGGGTCGGGGACACGGGCTGAGGGGGCGGCTGGCGGCTGGAGGATGAGGTGGGGCGGCCCCAGGGCCGGGACGAACATGGGGACCCGGGGACCCAGGGATCCGTGTCACCGGGGATTCCTGGTTAGTCCCCACGTTCTGAGGCTGGCGTGGTGACTCGGCTCTCCTGACGTGAAGAAGCTGAAACTAAGCTGTCCCCTCTTAGCACCTGTGTCTGGCCCCTGGTCACTGTCCCTCCTGTAGGACAGGCCACTCAGGTCCTGTGCCCCAGACGCAGGGTGGGCTGAGCCAGCACAGACCCTGTCATCCCCAGGAGAGTCAGGACCTCATGAAGTCACCCAGAGCCTGGCACAAAGCCTCGAAGTCCCCGCCAGGAGGGGACCTCAGCCTGACAGCCGCGGAGCCCGCAGGACGTGGCCCCTGGGCGATGTGGCCCTGCTCCCAGGAGGAGGAGACCCAGAGTACCTGGACCTTGGCGCAGAGATCTGCGTCCTCCCGCTGCCCGGGGACACAGCGGCAGGGCCGGGCGGTCCCAGCAGATCTGGCTGGAGATTCAACACCCGCCCAGCAAAGCCATGGCCCTCGCAGCCTCGCAGCCTCGCGCCCAGTGCCCTCAGGACAGAAACGCTGACGAGTCTGACAGCCCCTCTGGGTCCCAGGCTAGACCTCACCTCTGGGTCCCAGGCTAGACAGCCCCTCTGGGTCCCAGGCTAGACCTCACCTCTGGGTCCCAGGCTAGACCTCACCTCTGGGTCCCAGGCTAGACCTCACCTCTGGGTCCCAGGCTAGACAGCCCCTCTGGGTCCAGACTAGACCTCACCTCTGGGTCTCAGGCTGGAAAGCCCCTCTGGGTCCCAGGCTAGACCTCACCTCTGGGTCCCAGGCTAGATAGCACCTCTGCATCCCAGGCTAGACCTCACCTCTGGGTCCCAGGCTAGACAGCACCTCTGGGTCCCAGGCTAGACAGCACCTCTGCATCCCAGGCTAGACCACACCTCTGGGTCCCAGGCTAGACACAGCACCTCTGGGTCTCAGGGTAGACCATACCTCTGGGTCCCAGGCTAGATAGCTCCTCTGGGTCTCAGGCTACATAGTACCTCTGAGTCCCAGGCTGGACCTCACCTCTGGGTCCCAGGCTAGACAGCACCTCTGGGTCCCAGGCTAGACCACACCTCTGGGTTTCAGGCTAGACACTGCCTCTGGGTCCCAGGCTAGACGTCACCTCAGGGTCCCAGGCTAGACAGCACCTCTGGTCTCAGGCTAGACAGCACCTCTGGGTCTCAGGCTAGACAGCACTCTGGGTCTCAGGCTAGACCTCACTTCTGGGTCCAGGCTAGACCACCCCTCTGGGTCCCAGGCTAGACCTCACCTCTGGGTCCAGGCTAGACCGCATCTCTGGTTCCTGGGTCTGTGCTGCTCAGTTCCCACCAGGGGAGGTAAAGCACACTGGGCCGGGTTTTCACTTTGACCCGAGGGGCAGACATTGCTCACGGGTCGGGCTCCCTCCTCAGAGTGGCCTCAGAACCCTTCCTACCACACTTCCCCAGGCCACTCCACCAAGGGGCTCCTTCTGTCTTAGGGAGGCACATGTGGCCTGTCCTTGGGCACCCGATAAACCGCTACGGGGTTAGGAGCTGGGGCCCCCCAGTGGTGATGGGTCAGCAATTCTACCCAGGGCAGGAGGGGGCCAGCATCTGCCCGTTAGCCCCTCCGTCCCTTCCACCCGTGAGGACCCAGCGTAGAGGGCGCCATCTTGGAAGTCAAGACCTTGACCTTGACCTTGGACTCCCGGCTCCAGGACTGTGGGAAGTCACTGTCGCCCTTCTCTTTTGCTCGGCAGCACAACCCAGCCCGGGAGAGCCAGGCGCCCATCTCTACTCTGCCGCTGTCCGGCTGCGTGGCCTGACCCTCAACCCTGTTCACCCCCAGCCTCCGTGCAGCAGGGGGATGTCGGAGGTGAAGCTCAAGGCTGCTCCCCTGGGTGTGGCGCCAGGACGGGGGGCCCAAACTGGCCGGGGGTGCTGGCCACTCGGAAAGGAAAACCAAGGCCGACATCTGTTTCCTGAGGAGCTATTTGAGGTGCTGGGCCTTTGGGTAAAACCCAGAGCAGCGCTTCTGAGTCAGCAGAGCCGGGCAGAGTTCCCCTGGCCTCCGCAGCCCCGCAGCGGGACTCCTGCCAGCCCCGCTCGCCTGGCTCTCCAGGCAAAGTTGTTACATAAGGAGAGACAGAGGTTAGACAGAAGGCAGGACTTCCGCCCCTTGGGGGTTGGGGGCCGGCCAAGGCAGAGAGCAGGGGGATGAACAGAGCCCATCCCCTGGTGGGACTTGAAGAGCCGGGCCATCGGGGGCTACTGGGGCCCCATGTGTCCCGTGAGGGCTCTGGCTGGATGGGCGCTGGTGAATGGGGGGCAGCCACTCGACCTGTTGGAGTCACAAGTGGAGTCACGGCTCTGGGTCCCGACGGCCTCTAACCGTGTCCAGGAGCTCCCTTGGCCAGCGCAGCCCCAGCTGGACTGTGTGGGAGGAGGGGGGTCCCCTGCCACCCCCGACCGGGGGCAGCTACTTACCCCCCTGCAGCACCAGCAGGAGCACGGGCAGGGCCCAGCCTCGGGGCATGCTGCGTCCAGGGGCCTGCAAGACACCACGGAGGGGAGCTGGGCGGGCAGGCGGGCCTCAACCCCAGGCCTCAACCCCCGGCCTCCCGGGCCTGCCTGGGCAGGGTCCTGCGGGGTCTGAGGGCTCCGCAGAGGCTGGCCCCGGCCTCCTGCCCCTTAGCCAAGGTCACTCCTCCGCAGCCCCAGCCCAGCCCCTTCTTCTCGCCCTTAGCACAGGAAAGGAGACCTCGAGGGGGGGACACTGGCTCTTCCTCTGTCCCTGCCAGGCCCACTGATGTGGCAAGAGCGGCATTAAAGGGGCGGGTGGCATTAAAGGGGCGGGCACTTCTCTGCCCACCCGAGTCCTCTCCCGGGTGCCGACAGAGGCCCCGGAAATTGGCTTCTCCCTAAGTAGGAATCCAAGGCAGCCCCCAAGGGGACGGCTACCCACACGCAGGGGGAGGCCACCCGAGAATGAGGCTTCTTACCCCGTCGACAGCCCTGTGTGGACTTTTTTCTAACAAAGTCAACAAGGGGGCCGTCGTGGCGGACAGACGCCGGCTGTGCAGCCACAAACTTTCAGAGCACCTGCTGTGTGGCCACAGGACAGTCCCTCGCCCTCTCTGAGCCTCACAAAGTGGAGACTTCCAGGGATTCGTGAGCATTTAGGGAGGTCGTTGGCAGAAAACTCCTGACAGTGCCCTTGGACACAGTGAAGACTCGGCCGGGATCCCTGTGAAACATCAGAAAAGGAAACTCCCAGAAGGATCCAGCCAAAAGTTTCCAAAATTCCTCCCTTTCAACATTTCGGCCACAGGCTCACAGAGAGATACTGTTCACTGTGGATATTTTCTTAAATGGATCCACGTAAGAATCAAAGTGCAACCTCACCCTATTAGGTACCATCCGTGTTCGTGTGTTTTTTATAACAGGCTTTAAAATGAACCACGGTGCTGTCACCACAAGGGAACGTGGGGACGAACTCCGTCTCCACCTGCGTCTGGGAGCAGTGCCCGGTGTGACCTGAGACCTTCAGCCTTGTGCTGTGACTTAGACCACGTCCCCCGAAGTTCAAGTGCTGGGACCTTATCCCCAAAGTCCCCTGTTCCTGGATGCTACTTGGCGGGGGGCTTTGAGGGGGCTTAGGATCACACGAGGGCGTGAGGCTCTCCCCAGAGGCTGAGCGGATGCCAGAACCTCGCTCTCAGACTCCCCGCCTCCAGCACCACGAGCCAAATCCTAGTCACTAAAAATGACCACAACCGTCAGGCACGGTGGCCCACGCCTGCCATCCCAGCAGCTCGAGAGGCTGAGGCAGGGTGGGGGGGGATCGCAAGTTCAAAGCCAGCCTAACATTTCTAACATTCCTTTAGCGAGACCCTGACTCTAAATAAAATATAAAAAGGGCTGGGGATGGGGCTCAGTGGTTAAGCACCTTAGAGTTCAGTCCCCAGTATTTAAAAAAAAAAAAAGGCCCAACCTCAGGTGTTTTGTTATAGCAGCAGAAAGTGAACTACGACACTGTTGTTCCACCTTGAACAGGAGCGTCCTGGGATGCTCTCCCACTAGCAGGTCCACAGCTCCGATCCCAGCCGCAGCACAGCATAGCCCTGTCCGGGTCCCTGCCCAATGGCTTCGTCTCAGCCACAGGAAAAAGTCTCCTTTCCAAGGATCAGGGCTCAGCCTCCAAACTCCTCGCCTTAGCTCTGCACAAGCCGACTCCTGGGATGTCAAGGCGCCCGCTGGCTGTGTGGCCCTTGTCATGAGGTGCCCCATAAACTGGAGCCCACCTACGCAGCCCAGAGTGGGCACCTGACCCAGGCCTGGCCAATCCCAGGGCTCCACTTGTCACCAAGGGCCCCCGGCCACAGCGGCTGGATCAGGGATGGACCTAAAACCAGGCAACACCATTGACACAGTCCTGGGAATTCTCCTCTAGAACTCCAGCAGGGGGACTTTTGGGGTACCTGCTAGAAACTCGCAGCCATCTTGGTCACCTCCTAACGCCTGCCTGGAAAGGATGAAAATACTGTGAAGCACAGACCCAGAGTCCCCACGGCAGCTTAGAGGACCTGGATCCAGCCGTACCTGATGGCTGCTTCTGGACCATTCATTGACATGAGCCCCAAAGCCCCTGCTTTGCTCAGCTGTGTCAAGGGCTGTTTCTGTTGCTTACCACCAAGGACATCTGACAGAGAGGGAGAGAGAAGAGGGCCCAGATTTGAGGATCCTGGAGCAAAATCCTTCCCCTGGTCCTCAGTTACGGTCTCGGAGATGGGAGCAACCCTGGCCTTTGCTCCCAGCCTCTGCTCCCGGCCTCTGAATATGGCCTCTGATCCTAGTGCTGTGAGCAGCAAGAAGCTCCTCCAGGGGCCGGATCCCTCCTCCCACCTGCTCCGGAGGCCGCACCCCTCCCAGCACCCAGGGCCCTGCCACACCCCTGTGCACGGCCGAGTCCTCTCCCCCTGGCACTGTCCCTCTCCTGTCCTCCAGCCCCAGCTCCCACGGCCCACCTCCTCCCTCCCGATGCCATGCCGGAATGTTCCAGAACTCTGCCACTCGCACCTTCCCTGGGGCTGTTATCTGCCTGCTATTTCTCCTCCCCTTCCCCCATTTTTTACTCCAATCAACATGTCCCCAAAGAAAACCCTGCAGATGACCAGGATGCCTGGGCAGGCGCAGTGCCCACTGGCCGAGTCGCACCCCCCGCGCCGCCTGCCCGCCTGCCCCCAGCGCTGCCTCTGCGGGGCCTGGGTGGCGGAGACTTCTCCTCCCTGGGACAGCCACGCAGCGCCTGGTCCTGGGGTCCCCTCCGCCCTGCCTGCCAGGCGTCAGGGAGAGTGCTCCCCCAAGTGTCCCCTAAAGTAAACAGGGACACAGGGAGAGTGACAGCTCGGCCAGAAAGCAGGACAGCGTGGAGCCTTGGGGACGCCTGCGACCGGCCCAGGGCTCCCCAGAGCAGGGATTCAGCTTGTCCCCGTGTAAAAGCGGGAGGAAGAGCCACGTGTTTAAGGCTTTGCAGAACCAAATGGCCAGGTCCAGCTTCTGGCCTCTGCCCAGGCGGTGAGCGGAGAAGGCAGAGGCCCTGCCCAGATGGCCGCCCCCCAGCGCCACCTCCCTCTCCGCCCCGCGTCCAGCCCTTTTGGCGTCTGCCCACTCAAGCCGACTCCCGAGGGCCGCGGTGACTTCTCCCCATGTGAACCAGGCCACTCCCTGGGCGCCCACCTCCACGGCCTCCTCCGGGAGAGAGAAGAGTCCCTGAACTGGAGCCTACAGCGTCCCGGCTGTGTGTCCCTGGGCAAGTCACCTAACCCCTCTGATTCTGTTTTCTCATCTATAAAATGGGGGGCCACGGATCTCTGCTGCCGGTTTCTTGTGAGCACAGGCTGCACCCCGCAGGAAGAGCCTTGCAGAAGGGTTCACCCAGCAGCCTCCGGGGCGGGGACATGATGTTGGCCAAGTTTGGGGACATTCTGGGACAGCAGAGAGGCTCGGGGGGTGGGAGACCAGGCTGGAGTGGGAGCTGCGGAGAAGGTGAAGTGCTTAACTTTCCCATCAGCTCAGAAATGCAAATGACAGCCACAGTGACAAACCATTTGACTTTATCAGATTGGCAAAGAAGTCAAAGCTCGGCCCGCATCACGTGGAGCGGGGACGGGCCCTGACGGGAACTCTCGCCGCGACCTGTGGGACGGAGGCTGATGTTTACTACTAACATCCGTCCTCCTGGGTCGCACGAGGTCGCCCGTGGGACCCGGGGGCGCGAGCCAGTGTCTTCCCTTCACCCTCCACGGCAGCCTGGCTTCTAAGAGGGACAAGTGAGGGGCCACCCAGACGTTCGCCATCAGGAGAATGGAAACAATGCAGGGTGACGTGATGGCTCCGTGTGACCGTGAGTCATCTGCCACGGCACACGACGCCGACGGAGCTTGTGACTCACAGAGAAAACAGGGAGAGACAGAACCCAGGCACCACCCGCCGTGGTGCCCGCTTCGAACCCACATGAGACGATAGTTTAAGCAAACACACAGGTGTCCCGAAGGCAGGAAGGACCCACGGAGGTGACAAATGTCAAATCTGAATAGTGTAGAAAAGGGGTCTCAACGGTTTGGTGGAACTGGGTGAGAGTACACTGGATGTTGGTTGTATGACTATTCACACCCGTTTACATGTCCAAACTATCTCACAGGCTGGGTGCACTCGTGAATTCCTGTAATTCAGTAGCTGGGGAGGCTGAGACAGGAGTATCCCAAGTTGGAGGCCAGCCTCAGCAACTTGTCAAGGTCCTGAGCAACTTAGCGAGACCCTGTCTAAAATAAAACATGACAAGGGTTGGGGGATGTGGCTCAGTGGTGAATTGCCCCTGGGTTCAATCCCCAGTACCAAAAATAAATTTAAAAAATAAGTATTAAAAAAAAACACATTTAAAATGGAAACGAATCTCGGTTTTGTAAAATTACGTATGGTGAGAGGCTGTGATGGACTAGTGTTCTCCTGAGAACGGCCTCTAAGCAGGGGAAATGCTACATGAGCCGTCAACCACGTTATTCGGTACTTGGGCAAAGGAAGAGTCATTGAGATTTTGCCAGTTCCCCTCAAATCGTTGGAAATGAGAAGCATCAACGAGTCTCCTGATAAGCTGCAGAACTAAGGAGAGTTCTTGGCAATTTCACAACACGGACGCAAGAATCAGGGCTCAGAGCCGAAGGAGAGAGACGGGGCCTGGTGAGCACCCAGGGGGTCAGAGACGGCTGAGCCTGGGGTCAGGGAGAATCAGGAGCAGTTCACGTCTGCTGCAAGAAGGTGGAATACATCTGGAAAAAGTCAGCTTCATCCAAAGCCAGCATCTGCACCAGTATCTGCATCCATTCCCCCCTCTCTCTCCCCCTCCCTACCGCCTCTTTCTGTCCTAGGGATTGAACGCAGGGGTCTCTACCACAGAGCCACACCCTGAGCCCTGTTACTTTGTATTTTGAGACCAAGTCTCCCTAAATCGCCCAAGCTGGCCTTGAATTTCTGATCCTCCTGCCTCAGCCT